GATGAAACCAAGATCAACCTCTACCATACTGATGGAAAGAGAAAAGTCTGGTGAAGGTGTGGTACAGCTCATGATCCAAAGCACCATCTGTAAAACACAGCAGAGCAGTGTGATGCTTGGGCATGCATGGCTGCCAGTGGCACTGGGTCACTGGTGTTTATTGATGATGTGACACAGGACAGAAACAGCCGAATGAATTCTGAGGTATTCAGAGCCAAACTGAGCTCAGATCAGACAAATGCAGCCAAACTGATTGGTCTGTTTCATACTACAGATGGACAATGACCCAAAACATAAAGCTAAAGCAACCCAGGTGTTTATTAAAGCAAAGAAGTGGAATAATCTTGAATGACCAAGTCAGTCACCTGATCTCAACCCAATTGAGCATTTCACTTGTTAAAGACTAAAGTTCAGACAGAAAGGCCCACAAACAAACAGCAACTGAAAACGCAGCAGTGAAGGCCTAGCCTGGCCCTTGCCTTCCTACGCAGCTCCGCTCATTTCTAGTTTCCCTTCACTGCTCAGTCTGGGATTTCTCCCATTAACAAGGATTTCACTGGCAGATTTTTAGCCGGGCCAATCAGAGAAGAGAACGTCAATTTTCTGCGCAGTGTCTGCTTGTAGTTTATTTTACCTGGGCCAATCAGAGAACAGGAGGAGGAGTTTTGAACGATGTTGATGTTCTGCACAGTGTCTGCTAGTTAGTTTAGTGGAGGAAGTGAATGAAGCCAGTCTGTGTTGATAAGGCTTCCAAATTAAAATAAATCTGTCTGACAAASCAGCAGCTCTCATTTACAGTCGTCTCGTTCAGCTCGGTATATTTCTCCTCTCAGTAGGGTTGTTTACAGCACACGCGATTTCTGGTTAGCTTCTTAGCTTAGCCTCCGTCACAGCGACACACACACATGCTTCAGCAGAGGCCACGCCTCCTGCAAGAAATCGATTCTCTATGCAGCAAGTCCAGACCCTTGTATGAAGCAAAGTGAAGGACAGGGTCTGGTTTTAGCCAGGCTACTGAAGGTCTGGCAGAGCATTAAAAAGGAGGAAACACAGCGTCTGGTGACGTCCATGAGTTCAAGACTTCAGGCAGTCATTGCCAACAAAGGCTTTTCAACCAAGTACTAGAAATGTACATTTTATTTACAATTATTTAACCTGTCCAATTACTTTTGAGCCCCTGAAATGAAGGGATTGTGTTTAAAAGATGCTTTAGTTCCTCACTTTTTTATGCATTCATTTTGTTCAATGAAAGCTGAAAGTCTGAACTTCAACTGCATCTGAAAAGTGTTTTGTTTAAAATTCATTGTGGTAATGTCTAGAACCAAAATTAGAAAAATGTTGTCTCTGTCCAAATATGTAGGGACCTAACTGTATCTAGGAGGCACAGTTTATATGGATAGTATTTATTTTTTACAAATACAAGCTGGAATGAAAACAAGCAAAAATGAAGTAAAAGTAACAACTTTCTACTTCTTGCCTTTATTAAAAATGTAAGGAATAGAAGTAAAAAATAGGCTGAAAAATAGTTACTCAAGTAAAGTACAGATATCCAAAAATTATACTTAAGTACGGTACTAAAGTATTTGTACTTAGTTACTTTACAACTCTGTGCATCACCATGTATATATCAGAAGTTATTAAGCAAACCTACATAGCTATTAAATCTCGTTTTTCATTTATCTGTTTTTCATTTTATAATTTATTTTTTGCAATTAGAGAAAAACATTGGATATTGGGATTTTTTTATTCAGTTATTTTGATTCATAAAACAAAACAATGTATAAACAGCAAAATAAAAAGTAAATCATGCAATGGATTAAAAGGGTGCAAAGTGAAGAAAAAAATCATATGCCATCTTATTAAAAAAGAGAAACAACTGAAATTTATTTACAAACACATTTACATTGTTGGAGTGTCAATGCACAGTAGCACTTTTTAGGAGCAAGGTGTAGTTCATTTTAAATTTTTATAAGTAAAAATATATGTAACTTTATTTTTAACATGGTTTTGATTGACACCATTTTATGCATTTACCAATAAAATATTATCGCTTTTTATTGATGTATTGATATTCAAAATATTTGATTATTTTAGGTTTACCCACTGCCTCCTTTACTAAATGATCCAGCAGTTACAGTAGGTGGGACTCCTGCCTGTGTAGTTAGTATCTGCGCAGAACAACTGTGGAGACAAAAATCAGATTAGCTAAAAGACATTTATGAAAATGTTATAAATTATATAAATAATTTTAGTAAAAGTTTCAGTTTAACGCTGTCATCTATGATCTAAAAGGGAAGTTTAGTCGGTTTAGAGCAAATACATCTGGTCTGTATAACAGCACAACCTCTTACAGCAACCTCAGCGTTTATCTGATGGTCTTTGACCCACACATTTCATGCAGGTGCATTTGTAACTACAAAAAGGCTTATTAGTGTAAAACTTTCAGTTTCTCAGTCTGATTTATAACATGAAARTTGACAACAGTGTTTGTTTATAAACTTTAATTCTTTTGCTCCACAGTGAAACATGTTTCAAACCTAAATATATATAAATCACTTATTTTCTACTTTAATTTTCTTCATTTTGTAATACGCTCAGGAGGCTCGGCCGGTTCTGACGACCACGAATTCGATCCGTCGGCCGACATGCTTGTTCATGATTTTGACGACGAGCGCACCCTGGAGGAAGAGGAAATGCTGGCGGCGGTGGACGAGGCCAACGCCAATGAGATTGAAGACCTGGCGCGGGTTTGTGCGAAACTTTTTCACTTGTTTCCTTTCGTCGGTCGCGTCTGGTGAAGATAAGTGTGGAGTTTCTGTGTATTTTGGTTTTTGTACTCTGAGTCTGAGTTGTAGTCGAGTTTTAAAGGAGAGGTGTGGGGAAACTGACAGTGGAGCATGCAGCCCTATTAAAACTGTTAGTTATTATTATTTTCCATTCTTTTTATTTTTCTCACATAAATAAAACACATCCTGCAGCCTAAACAATAAGGAGTATAGATGAGATATTTACATGGTGGTAACTATGGCCTGTCAAAAACAGGTGTGTTCACCTACATAACCTCTAAACCACAAGTCACAAAATGTAATGGCTTAAATCTACACAATCCCCGGTCACTACTGGCTCACATATTAGAGGCCACGCCCTTTTTTGGTTAATTTTTTTTCTTGTTTCATCACAAAGTTCGCTAAAACTACTTATGATTCTTCTCGAAGGTTTAAAGTTAGGTCGCCATGAAACTCAACATTTTAACTCTACATATCCATCCATCCATTATCTGTGCCCACATATTCCTTTCAGGGTCACGGGAGTCACTGGTGCCCAAATCCAACAGTCACAGTCGAGGGGCGGGGTACACCCTGGACAGGTTGCAAGTCCATCACAGGGACACACATAGAGACAAACAAGACAGACAACCATTGGAAAGAAAAGAAATTCATACTGCTATTGAAGAACTCAGTACTGAGTTAGTGCAACAGGTTTGACAAATATTGAGCAATAGGGGGCGCTAAAGGATAAAATGGCTAATAGACTCTTCATGGAATTTGTCAGAGATCTTCAGGACCTAATCTTGAGCTAATAACTTAAAGGTAATTAATCACAGCTGAAGCGGTTGTGACAAAATCAGTCATGGATCCTGAACTCTCAGACATTTTAAGAAGATTGTCATAGGAATCATAAAGTATGAAAACTAAATAGCTGTATAAGAATAAAAACTACATTTAGTTTGTCACTGAGTACAGTGAAGTCCCGGTTCAGTTTGTGGACTCACTCGCAGACGTTTCCTTAGAACCTAACTGATTGTTGACAGAAACTCTGGCAATTTTGCAAAATCCACAAACATGCTCTGCAGCTTTTTCATACTTTTGTTTGTGGCATCTGTGGATCATCAACTTTGCTCTGCCGTTGAACTTTGGTCAGCTTTTGTTGTTTTTAATGTGCTATATAAAATAATTTGACATTGCAGTCATTACCTTTGTCGTACGTCACAGCTACGTCAGCATAATCAACATCAGTGCTGTCTGCACCCAACACCACCTGGAGTATTTTTTCCAAAGTGCCAAACTGAGTAACAGAATTACAGTTCCCTCCAAAAGTAATGGAACAAGTCAGATTCTGTTCTTTTTCTTGTTCACTGAAGACATTTGAGTTTAAGATCAAAAGATGAGACAAGAGTTCAGAATGTCAGCTTTTATTTCCTGGTATTTATATGTGGATGTGTTTAAACAATTTCGGATACAGCGGGTAAAATAAGTATTGAACACATCACCATTTTTCTCAGTAAATATATTACTAGAGGTGCTGATGACATGAAATTTTCACCAGATGTCGGTAACAACCCAAGTGATCCATACATACAAAGAAATCAAACCATAAGTCCAGAAATGAAGTTATTTGTAATAATGTGGAATGGCACAGGGGAAAAGTTTTGAAC